CTTCTGCTTATTTTGGGTTCAGTTTGCTCTTCTGTCTAGTTGCTTCAGGAGAAAGTTTAAGTTACTGATTTGAGATCTTTCTTTCTTTCTTTTTTTCTTTTAGAGACAGAGTTTCACTTTATCACCCTCAGTAGAGTGCATGGTGTCACAGCTCACAGCAACCTCCAACTCCTGGGCTTAGGTGATTGTCCTGCCCTGCCTCAGCTGGGACCACAGGCTCCCACCACAATGCCTATTTTTTGTTGCAGTTTGGCCAGGGCCGGGTTTGAACCCACCACTCTCAGTATATGGAGTTGGCGCCCTACCCACTGAGCCACAGGTGCTGCCCTGAGATCTTTCTTTTTTAATACAGGTGTTTAAAGCCATACATTTTATTCTAAGAACCGATTTTAATGTCTCTCATAAGTTTTGATGTGTTATACTTGTATTTTTATTTATCTCAGAGTATTTCTTTTTTTTTTTTGAGACAGAGCCTCAAGCTATCCCCTTGGGTAGAGTGCTGTGGCATCACAGCTCACAGCAACCTCCATCTCCTGGGCTCAAGCGAGTCTCCTGCCTCCGCCTCCCAAGTAGCTGGGACCCGCCACAATGCCCAGCTATTTTTTTTGGTTGCAGCTGTTATTGTTGTTTGGTGGCCCGGGCTGGATTCAAACCTGCCACCTTAGGTGTATGTGGCTGGCGCCTTAGCCACTTGAGCCACAAGTACCAAGCCATATCTCAGAGTATTTCTAATTTCTTTTTTGATTTTTTCTTTAGCACATTTGTTATTTAGTATATTGTTTAATATTTACATATTTGTGACTTTCCAAAATTTACTTCTGTTATTGATTTATAATTTCATTCCGTATGGTTACAGAACAACTTTGTACAATTTTAATTCTTTAAATTTATTAATACTTGTTCATGTTTTAACATATGATCTATCCTAGGGAATGATGCATGTACACTTGAGAGAAACATGTATTCAGCTGTTGTTGGGTGGAGGGTTCTATAGATACTTATTAGGTCTAGTTGGTTTACAGAGGTTTTTATGTCTACTATTTCCTTAATGATCTTAAGTTTACTTGTTCTATCCATTTTTGAAAGTGGGATGTTAAAGTTTTCAATTATTACTGTTTAATTGTCCATTTCTTCCTTTAATTATGTCATTTTTTGTTTCATATATTTTGAAAACTTGTTTTTATGTGCTCTTGTATTTATAATTGTTATATCACCATGATGGATTGACCTTTTATCATTATAAAATGTGCTTTTTGACTTTAATAGCAACTTTTGTCTTAATATATATTTTCTCTGATATTAGTGTAGTTATTCCAGCTTTCTTTAGCTAGTTTGCACAGTATATATTTTTCCATTCTTTTACTTTCAAATGACTTGTATGTTTTATTTTAAATTTTTCATATATTTTTTATTTGCAAATATTTATAGGGCACAAATAACTTGTGTTTTTAAATTTAAGCTTGTTTCCTATAGACAGCATATATGGATCATGTGATTTTAATACATTCTTCTGGTCTCTATTTTTTAATTAGAATGTTTAATCCATTTCCATTTAATGTAATTATTATACAGTTAGATTTATATCTGCCATTTTTTGTATTTTACTCATGTCTTTTTCTCTATTCTTCATGTCTTCTGTTGTTTAAAATCGTTTTAATTTAGACTTAATTTTAATTTATGTTTATAGTTGTTATTTAAAGTTGTCTTTTTATCAGAGAAGGGGGGGGAGTCATTTTTTTTTTTTAGAGTCTTACTATGTCGCCCTCAGTAGAGTGCTGTGGCATCACAGCTCACAACAACCTCAAACTCTTGGTCTTAAGTGATTCTCTTGCCTCAGCCTCCCAAGTAGCTGGAACTACAGGCACCTGCCACAATGCCCAGCTATTTTGTTTTTGTTGTTGTTGCAGTTATCATTGTTGTCCAGCAGGCCCAGGCCAGGCTCAACGCCGCCAGCACCAGTATATGCGGCTAACACCATAACCACTGACCTACAGGAGCAGAGCCTTGAGTCATTTTTCTTGAATAACTATTCCGTGGATTGATCCAAGCTTTTGGTTAATTTCCAGAATTCTGAAAAAGTTGAGTCTAACTATTTTTGTCTATTTTCTTGTTGCATTTTGGAGGAGGAGAATTTGGAGGAGAATTTTCAGAGGTTCTTATTCTTATGTGTCAATTTTAATGTAAGTATGAGTTTCTTTTATGGCTTTTGAGTTTTATGTAATACTTTAAAGGACTTTTTTTCTCTCTAAGATTATTTTAGCTACTCTCTAATGGTATTTCACATATTCTTTTAAGTCAGTTTTATGAAAATATTATTTATATATAAAACAATGCTCACATTTTAATTCATTTTGACAAATGTATACACCCATGTAACCACTAGCACAATCATGATAGAGCAAATGCTTCCATGAAAAAAGGTCTTTTAGGTGGGGCAAGGTGGCTCACACCTATAATCCTAGCAATCTGGGAGGCTGAGGCCAGTGGATTGCCTGAGCTTGCAAGTTTGAGGCCAGCCTGACCTGAGCCAGCTCAAGACCTCATCTCTAAGAATAGCCCGGTGTGGTAGCAGGTGACTGTAGTCCCAGCTATTTGAGAAGCTGAGGCAAGAGAATCGCTTAAGCCCAAGAGTTTGAAGTTTCTGTGAGTTGTGACACCACAGCACTCTACCTAGGGTGACAAAGTGAGACTGTGTCTCAAAAAAAAAAAAAAAAACTTCCACACCCAGCACAAAAATACTCATTTTCTTCATTGTCTTTGCATCTGTCTTATTCTCCCCTCCCCCACCCCCCGGTCATTTCTTATTTCATTCTTCTTGAGTAAGTTACCTAATACGTTGTCTGTCTTCATTTCATTTCAAAGAGTCATTTCATTTATTCAAGTATTAGTTATCATTTTTCTCTTTTAATATTAGCTATTTGAATAAATGCCTAATTGTTGTTGAAGAGTGTGACTTTTCCTCGGAGTACTTCTTAGCTAAATTCCAAAAGTTCTGTTTTGGAAAAGTCCTACCACCATGTAAGCTGTATTTTGTTTGCTTTACAGTGCATGTGTTTCTATGTTAAAATTTAGAAGGTCAGTATTTTTATCTGTTACTTTTATAAATATGACTTTGATAGACTTCCTACCATGGAATAATGGCATTGATATATTTTTCTTCCCCACCACTTAATTAATTATATTATTTTCCTTAGCATTTTCCTTTGTACTGTTAAATATACTTCTTACTTAAACGTTCTTAATACATTCACACCAGGCTAAGATTTTCCCAAAGGGTTCTACTTCGACTTTATTTTGCCCTTCTTCTGCCCCCTCACAACTTTGCACCAGACAGTCCCCAGTCATTTTAACCAAGGAAAGTGAAGGCTTAGTTGATTGATAGGCAACTACTTGGTTGATTGGCAGCTGTTGCCTCCACAAGGAACAGAAGTAAAACTTAGGTTTTGTCACAGCCTGAGACACTTATCAGGGAATGCTCAGAACATCCTGCCAGAACTCCCTAAAAATAGCATCACTAGACTAGCACAGGCTGGAGCCCAGCAGACAGACTCTTCTCTCTTCTCCTGAAGTGCCTAGGCCAAGCTTAGGGTCTCTTCAGATGGTGAAAACCTCTTTATACCTAGCTCTCCATGATTGCAACAAGACTAGGCTCCTGAGCACCTTATCCCATTATGGGCAAATACATTTATCCCTCGCTATCTGGAGGGGACTGGGCTCAGAACCCCTGCAGATACCAAAATCTATGTAAGCTCAAGTTCCTTATATAAAATGGTGTAGTATTTTTAGGTAACCACACATCTGTGCATCCATATATTGTAAAACATTTCTAGATTACTCATAATACCAAATGCAATACCAAATATAATACCAAATACAACTGCTATGTAAATGGTTGTTAATACAGTATGGTTTAGTGACATAAACCATAATGACAAGAAAAAAAAGTCTGTACCTGTTACATATAGTACAGACAGAGCCATCCTATTTTTTTTTCTTTTCAAATATTTTCCATCTGCAGTTGTTTGAATCCATGGATATAGAACCACAAGTACCACATTTTCAAATTGAACAGTTTCAGAAGAAATCCTGGCAGGATATTTAAAGGCTCTTTAACTCCCAGCCTGGACCAGCTTTCATTTACACTTGGCCATAGCCACACCTTCCCATTCCCCTTCCCCGGGCCCTTCACCTTCCCGGGGCTCTTCCCCTTTCCCTCTCCCTAATGCATTTTCCACGCTAGGGTCTTCCCAGCCTCCAAAGTACAAACAAAGAGAACAGTGTGGTCAGATGCCCACCTTGTTGAGAAATAGCCAGCTGTGGCAAGACTAACATCTGCAAAAACTTTTATCTCCTGAGCTTTTTCCCATGAGAGAACAGACATGGTGTCTGTTTCTGTTTCTGTCCTTACTATTTCTTTTCAGTCCCGTCTCTCACACCCCATCTGTCCTGCATCTCCTTTATCATTAACCTGCCCCCACCCACCCCATCATATACTGTCACATCATAAGATGTTCACTTGTTCACAAGGTGCAGAGCAAAAAGCAGATCTTTGTTGGCTTAGGCAAGCGAATCTGCTTTCAGGCATCATGAGAGAGCCAGAAAATACTTTTAAAGGAGACTTTTTGATGTCCCTTGAATCAAACTAATTGCAGGGTTCCTCACCGGTGAGACAGATCATGCAGCACAAACTCTGGACCAGTGCCTATTCAGTTCACCAGCCAAGTGATCAAAGTTGGGCCCTTTCATTCCCCATTCAGCCAGTAAGCATTCACATATCATCATAAGGATTTATTTAGCCCAGGATATGATAGTAGAAGGATCAGCATGTAAGGCTTCCCCAATACATCTCAGTCACATCAGAGCATCACTTTCCCTTTGAGTAAAGTCAAGACATGAGAGTAGATGCTCACATATTCTAAGGATCTAAGGCATGAGCTGGATGGATAGATGCCCTGAACCCCCAGGGATCGTCTCCATGAGTTTATAGTGTGGTGAACAGCTTAGCTGGATAGAGTCTGACTGTCAGGAGGATCCTGGGCTGGCTCACTGGAGGCCCCTCCTCTCTTGTCCCCTTCTGGGAAGATGACTGTGGCATACGTTACAGGTTTGGAGCAGATAAGAACCTTAGGAGGCAGAGGGGGTAGTGAGGGTGGGTTTGGGGGTGGAGGTTTCCCTAATGGGGGATCAAGAGATAAACTGGTGTAGGTGGTATTATCAAAGGAAGGTGGTGAGTCGAGCCTAACATATGGTATATCCGGAGGCAGTTCAGCAGCCAGCCCAGAGTCACTGATGTGGTGGACCACTGAAGAGGGGCCCTGGAACAAAAGCAGGCAAATCAAGTGAAGAGAGTGCCTCCCTCTGCCCCAGTTCCCAGGGAAGCCCAGGTGGGAAGCCTAGGACCATGCTGGATCTGGCTCTTGAATCCCGAGTATGTGAGTGGGCAAGAGGGCTTCACTTTGAAGATTTTTAAGTTCCAGGTTTCTCCCAAAATCTGGGAAGGTGGCATACTGAAGGAGACCACTCATGCCGAGGTTATGGACCCCAGCTGAGGCCCAGTCCCTCTTTCCTTCCTTCCTTCTTTCCTTCCTTCCTTCCTTCCTTTCTTTTAGAGACAGAGTCTCACTTTGTTACCCTTGGTAGAATGTTGTGGCATCATAACTCATAGCAACCTCCAATTCTTGGGCTTAAGCGATTCTCTTGTCTCAGCCTCCGGAGTAGCTGGGACTGCAGGCGCCTGCCACAATGCCCAGCTATTTTTAGAGATGAGATCTCACTCTGGCTCAGACTGGTCTTGAACCCGTGAGCTCAGGCAATCTACTGGCCTCAGTCTCCCAAGTGCTGGGATTACAGGCGTGAGCCACTGTGCCAGTCCTTTCATCACTCCATCATCCTGGGACCTCTCAGTGGGCATGACAAATGAAAAGTCTGGGGAATTTGGCAGGGGGCCTACAGTGCCTCTTACCATGCCTGAAACTCTGCTGCTCTGGAATCGGCCACAGACAGCAAGCCTGTTCCCTGGCAGGACAGATGAAAGCAGCACAGTCTGCTTCCAGGCTGGCTCAGCCCATCCCCTCACTCCCTTCTAGAACCTCTGCTCATGCAGACTTACCTTCCCCACTCCACTGCCAAATCTTTACCCCCCATTGTCCAGCCCCCACCCACTTGCCCTAAGTCCCCCCACCCACTGCCTGCTCCAGTCCACCAAGACACTCAGCCAACCTCCTAAAACCCTTTTCCCTACCTCCTCCACTACTTCTCCTCCCCTCCCACCACCCTCTTTCCAATTCCTGTCTTTCCCCAGGACTGCACTCAGGGAATCCCCTTCTTTCCTCTCCACCCCTTAATCCTGGGAAATCTAGGATATGGGGGCCTTAACTAAAGCCCAGACATATCCATTTGTAGGGGGATCAGAGCAAGGCTCCTGGTCTCACCTGCAAAACTGCTTGATATAGGACATGCAGGGGCAGGCTAGGACAAGAGGATGCACAGCTACCTACCTTTCCTTTTGGCCATCACAGCAAACAGCACCACTGCTGCTACTAGCAGGCCTAGCACAGCCACAGAACCCCAGATCAAGGGGATGCTGAGGGACAGAAAGGGAGAGGCAGGGTTAGCTCTGAACCCTGCAGAGAGCTGCTGGCCAGGAGCCCTGGAGCAGTGCCTGAAGGGTCACATTCTTGGTGAAGACTCAGGCAGGATGGAAGGGGGACATGTTAGGGTATCCTGGCTGAAGACCCACCAAGGATGAAGGGACCACTGCTTATTGCTAAACTGAGACATGTCTGTTTGTTTGTCTATCCACATAGAAGTTCCCCTGAGGTGGAAGGAATCACAAGTTTTCCCCTTTGATTTAGTTGGAGCTCTAAACAAGATATTATGTTCACCAACACCCACCTCCTGGCTCCCCGAACTAGTCCTGTCAGTACCTCTTCGCATCCTGGCTGGGTTCCGTAGGGCTGGCACCGCCTGCAGGGCCTGAGGAGGGGTCCTCAGCCAGGCTGCCCATCTCGTATGTCTCCTCTTCCTTCTCACTCAAGCTGGGTACTGAGTCAGAAAGAAACGTTGAATGAGTGCATCCCCACTGCGGGCAGGCTTCACTGGCATGAGGATCTGAAGGACTGGGGGAGTGGAGCCATGGGAGAAGTGGCCAGGAAGACACACAAAGACAGGGAGCCTGGGGTATCCCTCAGGGCCTCTCATCCGTGAGTCAGGTGATGGCACCAACTCTTTATATCTTTACCTGCTGGTGAATATATCCGCATTCCCCTCCACCACCAGCTCCCACCCTCCTGCTGCCCTTTACCTGCCCTTTACCCTTGCCCGTCTATTGGTATCAGACTGCTCAGACTGTGTAGACACATGGCTCTGCACCCACCTCCCCTCCCACCCCAGGCAGTTTTCTATGGCTCTTTTCCTCCTCCTGGTGATCTTGCTCCTGCCCTCGGGGGCCTCCCCACATACAGGCAACCTGTAATAACACCTGCAGACTGGCTGAGCCTCATTCTGAGCTCTGCTAGCCCTGATAGGATGCAACGCTGGCTGACCCTGGCTGAGAGCCTTGCTAGGTCCCGAGACTCAGTTTGGGGACACGACTTCTGTCATCTGTCTCTACAACATCTTTGACTTCGGGCTGTAGGACTCAGGGTTGGTTTTCTTGGGTCTGAAGATTTGTCTTGGGAACCTGGCCAATCCCTGTAGAACTTCCTGTTCTTCATCCTGAGAGATCTCCCATTCCTATTCCTCATACTATGCCACACTAGGACCTGGAGGTGCTGTGCCCCCATCTCACTTCACATGTCCTGCCCTCCTGGTACCTACTGGGCCACTTTAGACAACCCCCTGTGAAGCCAAAGGCTTGCCTGAGCTTCGAGCCACACCCTCCCTTGAAATCATGTTCCATTTCCCTGTCTGAACATCATCCTCCACCACACCTGCCCCACTGCAGAGGGTTGGGGCTCCAGGTCCCTGCCTCCCAACCCTCTCTTTCCACTGAACCTTATCTTGTCACAATTTGCCTTTTAGGGAGTTAAAATCTTGAATTTAGTAGCTCAGAGTGTCAAGGAATGAGGATGACATAGGGTGACAAGGATTAACCAGAGTATATTTATAGTATAAAATAATCATGGATTTGAGATGAGAGTAAGTCTGATGACAACTTAGTCTAGCCTCTTATTTAGAGAGAAAACCAAGAGAAGGGAAAATGTTTATCTTACTTCATAATTTGGGGATTGGGCACAAACTACTTAAGGCTAGGTAGACCTAAAGATGAAAAATTATCAGTATCCACAAAAGTAGCAGCAGTCTCTCCTTCAGGTAACTGACCATTTTCCTTTCAATGCCCCCCCCCCTTTCAGAATAGCCTATGTTTCTGGAAAAAAATTTAAATATTTTAAAACTGTCTTTAGATAAATGCTTCCTAGCATTTAATAAATGCTAAAAGGTAAAGGCTGTGAGAATGAAACCTGTAAATCGTAAAGTGTTTTATATACTGAAAATAGAGTTGAGCATGTTGGCTTAAATGTCAACAACAATTTTCTCCTTTTTAAAGCCAAAAGAGCTGAAGTAGTTCAGGCGTTGGATGTAGCCTGCCTATAGGTGAGACACGCTAGATTTTCAATGAAGACTTATACAATTAATTAAGATGCAAATTCAGTAATGTTAAGGCAGCAACCTCATTAATATAGCAATCAAAACTGGAGGCAATACAAATTAATTCCAGTTTATATGCCCAGATTCAACTTTGTCTAAAACATTTCTAAGTAAAAAATGCTAGAAGATGCAGCCCAGGCTATGAAATGCATGAGGACGTGCCTTCCTGTGGGGAAGCCTGCTTGTGTGGGAGGGGAGGGGGCGGTTTTATCTCAGTCTTCCCACTCAGTTTGGTTTCCGCTCCCTGCACAGCTGTCAAAAGGATATCTCCTCCCAATACTTCCTTCCCCAGGGCCTCCCACTCCTGAGGACCCAAAGGCTCTGGCAAAATGTGGGGGCAGGGAGGGTGGTGAGAAGGGCAGTTGCTGACCTGGGGTAACTCACCTGGAGGGAGCACCTCCAGAGAGACTCTGTGCACAGTCTGAGGCCCCATGGCTCCATGCACCATGCAGCCGTACTCCCCGGCATCCTCCTCCTGCAGGTTGATTATTTGCACCTGCAGCAGGCCCCCACCCATGTCAGTGAGAAATGTGCGCCTGCTCCCTGGGGCTCTGCGATCCACAGCTGAAGACACCAGGGGCTGGCACCCCTCTGGTGAGAACCGGCACCACACCTTGAGAGCCTTGACATCCTGGAGCTGGTAGAGGCACTGAACCTGGATGGCGCTCCCCACGGGGGCCTGCAGCACCTCCAGGTGGCTGTCAGCTGAGCCCTGACCTAGGGAGGGAAAGGAGGTGGCAATATTGGGCAAGAGCTGGGGCGCCTCCCAGCCTACCCACTAGTAGAGGGACACCAGGACCTACAGATGTGGGTGTGGCAGCGACAAGAACTAGGTTATGGGCTGAGTATATGGGTCCCTGAGGGGCAGCTCCTTCTGAACCTTACCTTCTAGTCCCAGTAGCAGCAGCAGAACCAGGTAGGAGCCCATGGCTGGGCAGAGACGTCTGCTCTGGGGCTTGCCTGGGCACTGACATAGTACTCCCCCAGGGGCAGGAAACATCAGCTTCATACAGTCACGTGGGGCTGCCACTGACCACAGAGTGGGAGACAAGGACTGGTGGGAACCTCCAGGGATGGGGATGTGGGAGCTTTCCCAAATCCTGGTTGGCTTGGTGCTCAACAACAGCTCCTGAGGATAGGGACAGGAAAGGCAGGAAGAGATAGCCCTAAAGGCTGCAGCTGGAGGGACAGCCAAGGGGTGAGGCAGGAGGAGGATCCTGGCCAGTGGAGGGCAAGAGAGAAAGGGGAGAGATGAAAGGGTCTTCCAAATATAGAATCTGAGGGTGCAGAGCTGTGGAGATGGTGAAGTGCCCTGCACCTGGCCCAAAGCTGTTCCCATTCTAAATTCTTTATGAGCGCACCCCCCACCCCAGGCCCTCAGGAGAGTGTCCTTGGAGCACAGGGCCTTGAACTGGGTCTTTCTTCATTTGTCGTCCTGGACATCCTAGACCCTTTCCATTTGGATCTACATTCTTCGGTTCTGGGGAACAGGTTATGTCTTTGATAATTACTCCCCCATTTTCTCCCCCACCTCCCTCATTTTTCTGTAACTCCTTAATTAGCTAGATATTGGCTACCAAATATTCATCCTATTTTGATATCTTTTCTCTCTTATTTTTCATCTTTTTGTCCATTTTGTTCTGCCTCCTAGATTTCCTCATCTTTTTCTTCATTTCTTCTATTATTGCCTTTTAAAATTTTATCTTTAGTATTTTTAATTTACAAGACAAGATCTCTTCGAGTATTTCATTTTATGACACACAATTTTTGTTTCATAAATGCTTTATTTTCTCTGTTAGGAGATAATTCTCCATGAATCAATATTCACATTTCTACATTTCTTCATGTTCTGGGCCTTCTGAGTATACTGCACTGATCAAGCTTTGTTCAAGTATGACTGAATAGCAAACACGTTTTAAAAGCTGGGGACAAACAATAACTAAGAAAATGACATAAAGGCTTTGTTAACCAGTTTGATGGAAGTGTTTCGGATTGTGTGTGAAAACCCCACACTGTACCCCAAAAGTGCATTAATGTACATAGTTACCATTCAATAAAAAAAAAAAAAAAAGAAGCTGGGGACAGTGCAGCGTCTAGAGGAGAGAAGACTTGTTTGCATTCCAGAGTGAAGGTTCCTCTCTCTGTGTGTGTCTGTTTCACAGGGACAAAGTCCACTGCTAGATGTTGGGACAGATGTGACCAAGCAAGGTCTTGATCTTCAAGTAGGCTGGACATTAAATGAAGAAAATCAGTATTTATTAAGGACCTAATATGCTCGCGAGGGACTCTCACAAATTTCATTTCTTTCAACCTCACAAAAACCCCATAAAGGAGGCGAGGGTGTTTATTTATTTATTAATCAGATAAGGACACTGAAGCTCAGAAGGTTGAGGAACTTGCCCAAGAGGTCTTAGAAGGAGGCAGAGTTGAAATGTGAGACCAAAAGATTTCAGTCCTCTTTGATCCTGTGTGTCCCCTAGAGAGTTCAAGGCAGGGGATCCCAGTGGTGATTCCAGTCCAGAGGTGGGAGTCTCTGACATGGTGGAGTGAGAAAGAGAAAAGGCTGAGCTCCTAGGAGGCAGAAAACTCCATTCTGGGCTACAGCTGATGGCAGCCACCATGCTTGAGTGCAGGCATGCTCCAAAGAGCCCCCCTGCATTAGTGCCTGCAATTGGGGCAAGAGGTAGGTGGAGAGGGTTCAGCCCAGGTTCCACTCAGTCTTGCTGCCTACACCGGGCTTGGATCTGTAGGAAAGAGGCCACGGACCCAGGTCAAAATGAGGAAGATTAATGTACAGCTGAATCAGGGAAGCCAAAGAAACATGGGTTGGACCAGAGGCCCACGGCTTCAGGGCAGGAGCCAGCAGAGCAGCTGAAGTTGGGAGTAGGCAAGGCACCTGTCCGGGCCCAGGGAGGTGATTTGTCAAAGAGAGGCTAGAACATGAGGGCAGGATCAGGAGCTCCTTCTTGAAGAGTCACAGCCCTGGGTCCCCAAGCTAAGCATCCACCTATGGCCATGGCTAGTGGGCCGCCTGGGTTTCAACCTCTCTGGGGCCCAGCACAGGGAGCCTGAGGATGTGGCCAGCTTGTTTCTTCCTTTTCCCTGCAGCTCCTCCTTGGGAAATCTCACCACGTGCTCTTGGCCAGGGCAATGTGTGTGTAAGAGAGAGGGGATGAGCCAGGAGAGGTGTCTCATGCCTATAATCTTAGCACTCTGGGAGGCCAAGGTGGGTAGATTGCTTGAGCTCAGGAGTTTGAGACCAGCCTGAGCAAAAGCAAGACCCCTGTGTCCACTAAAAAGAGAAAAACTAGCTGGGCACTGTGGAGGGCAACTGTAGTCCCAGCTACTCAGGAGGCTGGGGCAAGAGGATCGCTTAAGCCCAGGAGTTTGAGGTTGCTACGAGTTGTGATGCCAGGGCACCCTCTCCGGGGTGACAGAATGAGACTCTGTCTCCAAAAAAAAAAAAAAAAAATAGAGAGGGGATGAGGCTTCACCAGCTGCACTGGCTGCTCCCTCTGCCCTGGATGGTCCTGCCCTGCTGTCTTCATGGTTCACTTCCTCATCTCCCGCAAGTGTTTCTCAACGGGTGCCTTCCCATCACCCTGTTTGAAACAGCACGGTCCCCATTCCTCCTGCACACCAGTGCCCTCAGCCCTGCTTTATTTTAGTTTTCCTCTCAGCACGTTTTGCCTTCTAACATACTATCAGACTTATTTTTTCACTGTGCTTATTATCTGTCTCTGCCCTGCCCCCCCACACACACTCTAGAACATGAGCTCCGTGTGGGCAGAACTCTGCCTGTTTTGTTCACTATTGTATTTCCAGTGCCCAGGAAACGGCACAGTCTAGATGTCTAGATGCTTAAAACAATATTCATCAAATAATTAAGTAGGAGTGAGCTAGAGGGAAGCACTTGAACACCAAATGAAATTTGGATTTCCAGGCTGTACAGGGGACTTTGGGTAAGTCCCTTTCCCGAGCCTCAGTTTTCCCTCTATACAATGAGGGGCCTTAAGCTCCCAGCTCTGATGTGCTGCAGCCTATGGCTCAAGCCCTTGTCATTTCTCTGGAGAGGAAGTAACATGGCGAAAGAAAAGCTCTAAGGAGGTGAATGGGTGAGTCAGCTGGGAGCTGGGTGGCTTTGAATAGGGAGGTGTGTTCAGGTGTTCAGGTGCAGATGGCCTGGGCAGGAAACCCAGGGGAAGATGAATGGCAGCAGAGAAGGGAGGATAACTAAATGTTAGAGAGCTCCCAGAGAAGGAGGCAGGACTTGGTGATTAGATCTAGGGAAGGGAGGAGAGAGAAGAAAATGATAGGGCAGATTGGAGGCCGTGAGAAGGAAAGGACACCGGATCATAGGCGTCCCCCTATGAGTCAGCTCATAGGGGGGAGGCGACCCCCGGGTGAGTCAGCTCTTTTGTCTTGTCTTCATCCAAATTCCTTCTCCAAAGGAAAAGAGAAGCTCCAAACCATGCGGTTTAAAATGACAGTCTTGGATTTATTTGAGAGCATTTAATGTCCAGTGCCCAGAAGTTGACAGATGATCTTTTCAAAGCTGAGTCTCACCCCTCATACATAGGGGGTCCTTACTTCCAGGAGCCAGGAAGCAAGGTGCAGGCAGAGTGGCCTCTAGCTAGAGCAGAACCAGGAGTTTTGGTAGGCAGGGGTGGGTATGCAGGCTGGGGTGACCCCTAGCTGGACCTCTTCTGGGATCCTCTTCCCATCCTCTTCTCTCAAGTGTCTCTGAGCCCTGCAACAGCTTGAGTAATTACATGGCCCCTCTCAGCACCACCTCCGGTCCCTTCCCAGGCCCCTCCCAGCCATCATTGTGCTCTCCAAGCTCACCTGTCAGCATCTGGAGCTGGTGCCCTGGGTCATGCCCACAGTCCAGTTCAATGGCTGGACGTGTCTCCAGCCTCCGCCCATACCAGGCTGCAGCCCAGAGGGTGATGGCTACCAGAAACTTGATGAGAAAGATGCAGGCCAGGAGGAGAAGGATGGAAGTGGGTGGGAAGAGGGTCTCTCCTTCCAAGATGCTCCTTTGGAGAGACAAAAAAGGCAAGTGGGAGCCTGGAGGTGGCCTGCAGACTGGACTCTGCCCTCAGGGAAGGGGAGAAACTAGAAGCTTCTAGGGGTCATGATACCTCCTCCACAGAACTTTCCTGGGTTGGGGCTCTATGGAGGTTTGGAGGAACCTGCAGTTAGGAGACCTGAGTTCTAGGCATGGTCTGTTACCATCCTTAAACACACCACCTCCTCTCACAAGCAGTTTTCTGCTGTACACAGGGGCACGCCATGTGGAGAGGGTGTGCACACGTGTGTGCTCAGTGGTTACATTGACACAGTTTAAACACCTGTACAAACTCAGGGACCAGTCAGAACTGATTCTGGTCCTACCAAAGGAGCAGTGATCTGGGAGTCCCCAGTTTTGTAGTGAAGTACTGAAACTACCATTGTTGCCTAATTATGTAGATAGAGATTCCCATATGAAGGCTGCTGGGGGAGACACAAGAGGCTATCTATTCAGGAGTCTTGGAGCAGTTGCTCTTAATGAACTGTTATAGGTGGGTTTTTTGGTTTTTGTTTGTTTGTTTTGAGATAGCTCTTCACTTCATTGCCCAGGCTAGAGTTCCGTGGCATCAGCCTAGTTCAAAGCAACCTCCATATCCTGGGCTCAAGCAATCCCTGCCTCAGCTTCCTGAGTAGCTGGACTAAAGGCACCCACCATGACACCCAGCTCATTTTTATATTTTGAGAGATGAGGTCTCACTCTTGCTCAGGTTGGTCTTAAACTCCTGAGCACAAGGGATCCTCCCACCTCAGCCTCCCAGGGTGCTGGGTTGATAGGCATGAGCCACCAAGTCTTTCAATATCCGAACAACTGACACAGTCACCCCAGCACATACTAGCTGGCTGGAGGAGTGTTTAAGCAAGTCA